TCCTCGCTCAGGCTGCCCCCAAGGCTGCTTCCTCGAGTGGCCTAAGGTGAGGTCACAGGCTGAGGGACACGAGCATCTACCACCACTGGTGTGCCAGTGTGCACCTGCCCACCCCTGCCCACACCCACTAGGCCAGGACAAGGTCTGGAAGGGAAACCCCAGCACCCACTCCCTCCCATCTGCTCCAGTATTTAAGCTGCCTCCTCTCAGTCCAAATTCTACCCCAGCTCCCAGAACCCCGTTCCACACCCACTAGGCAAGGAGCAAGAGCCAGGTGGCAGGAACTGACAAGCCATGACTCAGGAAAAGTTGCCTGAGACCCAAGCGCATGCCCCCCAGCCCTCACCACTGTGGTCCCACCGCGGACTCCCTCAGAGCCGAGGAGCAGGTCAGACCTCTGGCCACAACACCATCACCAACGACCCCAGATTGGGTAGCAAAGCCACAGGTGACAAGGTAGAAATACTGTACCCAGGCCCCTGAGGATGCCCAACCTTCCTGCCCAACCCCTAGCCATCCGCTCTGTGGCTCTGTGAGAATTCAAACGTGCACTCTGGTATCCTGCCAACCCAGTGCCAACACACCATTTTAAAATACACTTTTATTCTTTATCAGTGTGTGCGCGCACAAGAGAAGCAGCCGACAGGGTCTGACCATGCCGCAGTCCTTTCCCCCGCCGTCCAGCCTGTGAGAATCTCAAGCCCCGCCTGATATAATTTCAAGCTGATCCAAGGATCCGAGCCCAAGGTCAGCCATGTGGCTTCCAGCACTGAGGCTCGGTTTGCTGCCAACTGTGCCACCAAGCTGGGCCATCGCCCCATTTTACAAGGACAAAGTGGAACCAGGTCCTTCATCTTCTGCCAAAGGTAAACTTGAACTGAGGCTCCTAGACTCCAACTCTGGTAACCACACCAGTGGGCTCCTGGGGATTCCAAGTATGTGGTCTTTGCAAAAGTCCAACTGAAAACTAAGAAACCACATTATAAAAGACGACTCTCATGCCTTTAAATAGTAGAAGGTTCTTCTGGTTCTTCAAAACAGCTCAGTTTATTAAAATATGATACATATATTAAGGTTTGTTAAGAAACTGGTCTATAGACCAGCAGAAGGCATAATAGTTATGACACTGGACTCCCATCTAGTCGACCACAGTTCAAGTCTCGGACCCATTTAAAACTCACACCAGGCATGTATGCCCAAAATCTCGAGAGGACACTGGAGGAGAAGGGATTTCTCGCTTTCTCTGTCTCTTCAATAAGCGCATGTGCCCTATTAAAAAAAAAAAAAAAAAATCTCTCTTAAGGGACCAGCAGGTGGCGAGGTGGTTAAAACACTGGACACTCCCACATGGCTGACGACAGTTCAAGTCCTGGACCTGGTGGCTTGCTTTCTCACTTTCTCTCTCTGTCTCTCTCTGGTCAAATTTAAAAAAATGAATAAATAAAATAAAAAATAAGTAATTATAAAAAAAAAAATAAAAATCTAGGGCTAGCCTATGACCTGGTGGTTAAGGAAACTGGATTCCCACACGGCTGACCGTAGTTTGAGTCCTAGACCTGGTGGCTCCCTTTCTTGCTCTCTCTCTCTGTCCCTCTCTAGTCAAATTTAAATAAATAAATAAATAAATAAAGATAAAGAAAATAATTATTTAAAAAGAAAGAAAGAAAAAAATCTAGATTTAAAAAGAAAAAAAAAAAAAGGAATCGACCTAGGGCCAGCCTATGCCCTGGTGGTTGAGGAGCTGGGTCTCACGTGGCTGACTGCGCAGTTCAAGTCCCAGACCCCAAAGTCCTCAAAGGAGGGAGAAATGGAGGAGAAGGGATTATGGTGTGACCATTACTCACAGTGGGTGTGCTTTCTCCCTCTCCCCCTTCTCTGTCTCTAAGAAGTATATGCACCCATGGCAAAATCTGAAAAAAGGACAAAAACAGACCCAAAACCAGTCTAGCATGCAATCGAGGAACACCTTTACTCGGGCTGCTGGCAGAATGAACACCACTTTGGCAGATACAGGCTGAGCATCCCTAATCCAAATACCCAACCAAACGCTCCAAATTTGAAACTTCTGGAAACTGACATGACACCACAAATGAAAAACCCAACACCTGATCTCGAGCCAGGTCAGGCAAAAAGCCACAATATAAAAATACCATAGTCACCTGCAGGCTGTGTGTTACGAGTGAGTGTGGAACATAAACGAATTTCACCTTGAGACAGCTCATTATGTAAATGCAGATATTCTAAAGCCTGAGAAAGTCCCACATCCAAAACACTTCTGGCCCCAAGCAGTTTAGTTAGGATACTCAACCTGTGGTTAACACAAAAGAATCTTTCCAGCAAGTGTTAGATACTCCCCACCAGATAAGACAGCACAGAAAACACTGAAGAGGAAGGCCTGGCCCTGCGGAGGTCCTGCCACCGAGTCATTCTAGACCTTCCGGCACACGCTGGCCAGTGCAGTCACCTCGCACGAGAAGCCCAGGCCAAGGCCCTCTTCCTGCATCGCCATGCCCAGGGCCCCCAACCCTAAGTCTAAGCACAGTGCATCCTCAACGCCTCTCGCTGCCCGACTCCAGCGGAGCACTGTGCTGATACTCAGACCACTGCCGGAGGTGCAAGGGTCTGGACTCCCTGGTGTCGGCTCACTGCTGCCTGCCCCAGGGTGTCTGTGGACAGGAGAAACTGGATCTGCAGGAGCATGGGTTAAGAGACTCACAGTAGCTGCTGCACAGCCACTAGTGGGAAGCAGCCCCTTCACACTACCTTGTCCCCATCAAGCAAAGGTCCACTGTGCCCACCTACCACACCCATCCCAGCACGAGGGCTGCCCTCTCGGCCCGCACCAGCAGACTGCTGTGGGGAAGGGACTGAGACGAGCCAGGAACGGTGTTGCCTAAGAATGCACCGCTGGAAGGACCCCAACACCGAGTGGTCCCTGACCTCTGGCTCCTAGCTTTAAAGTGAAGCCCCCTCTGCTCACAAGACAACTCCCCCCTACCTCCATGGTCTCCTCTCATACACACATGCACACACGCGCACCCTGGGATCCAGCCCTGATTATCCATGCCTCCCCACTAATCCAGGGCTCCAAATCACAGGCCCTGCCCACACCAGGGCAGGAGTGGGGGAGTGGTAAGAGCAGGCCAGTCCGGGAAAAGGCGAGACACACTGGAAAAGCCGGCTGGGTGTCTGTTTCGACGGTAACTGGGAAGCCACCGCATGCACGTTTATCAGTGTAGCTTCAGGGAAATCACCACAGAGTCAGAACTGCCAGGCCTGGACCCGCCCAGCCTACAGGCTGAGCCGGGACGCCCAAGGCAGCGGGCGAGGGGGCACTGCCTGGCTGAGCCTCTGCACAGCTACCCGCACACGTCCCGTCTGTGCAGCCCTGCCCCAGCACCTCTCTGAAACGAAGAGCTCCTCCCAGAGAAAGCGTGCAGTGCTCTCACCACACCCCACCCTCAGGCCTGCTGTCACTCCCAGAGGTAACAGTGCCAATCTGAAAGCACCCTCCACACATCCACTGGCCCTACCCGCCTGAGACTCCTGATCGCCAGTCTGGTTCAGGTCTGGCCACATGCTGGGACCAGCCCTGTGTCACGAGAAGGTCGTTGCTTCCCACACTATACAGTGCCACCTGACTAGACCAGCACGTGGACCAGACACAGCAAGGAGGACCCGCTGGACAAGCCAGAGCCTCACCATCCAGACTATAACCATGGTTCTCACGGCTGCAGCGTCAGAGCCTCCAGGTGGTTTTCAAAACTATCATGCTGGGTTCAACCTCAGAGAGCTGAGCTCAGGGCTAGGGTGGCCTGGGCCTCAGTATTTCTTAAAACGAATCCCCAGTTGAAAAACACTGGCTTACGGGAACCAGCAGTTAGCATATGGCTATGTCGCTGGACTCCCACGTAGTCGACCGCAGTTCGTGTCCCGGACCCGGTGGCTTACAACTCACGCCGGGCGCGTGTGCGTGCGTGCCCAAGATCCCGAAAGGAGAATGGAGAAGGGATTGCGGCGTGACCATCCCCCCTGGGGGGGGGATTTCTCACTTTCTGTCTCTCTGTCTCTGTCTGGTGAGCGCACGCGCCCTATAGTGAAAATCTCTCCAAAAAAAAAAAAAAAAACACTGGCTTAAAACAAAAGAGTGTGCCCTGAGGATCTTAAGATGACCCCGAGTCTAAGCAGCACAGGCACGCGCTGTGGCAGGCTGCAGCCTGGACAGCGAGGCCAGACATCCGGCCCTCCAGATACTGCTCGCTCCTCTCCCAGACAGGATTCGCCCCGGGGTACACGGGTTCCATGAGCTCCAGAAAGGAGGGTGGTGCGCTGGCAGGTGAGTGCCACGGCGCCAGGAGCCTGGGGTGAGCCTGCTGCCAAGCACGAGACCTCACGTGTTCCATTACATCGCAGAGAGGCCGCTTGAGTCATGGCCCATCTGGGATGCCCCACAGGATGCCTGAGAAGGACCCTAATAAATATGTGACTTGGATGACAACCCGGTTCTACCACAGGCTGACTTCATGCTAAGCAGACAGCCTCCACCTTCTCAGCTAAAGAAAAAGGCGGAGACCTGCAGAGGGAAAAACCAGCAAGGTGCGGAAGACAAGCCAGTCGGACTGCAACTGCAAGCCCATGAGCCCTAGCGGGCCTCTCTGCGTCCGGCAGGGGCCCTGCCCTGAGAACCCCGATGTTAGACCCAACTAGCACATTCCTTTCCACCTGCTGTAGGAGACAGGCTACACACACATCTTTCAAAAGAGCCACCAAAACGACGTGAGTTTATAAGTTTTTGGTGTGTAAAAGGGAGACAGTTTACACAACTAAAACATCTAAAACATGAGCACACGGACACGTGAGGAGCCTGTGGGTTGTCCTGAGGACAGAAAAGGGAAGGAAAAGGTGCTGACAGCCCAGCCAGCCAGATCCCTGCAAGGCAGTTGGGCGCGTGGCGCCCCCCACCCCACCCCGCCGCGGGCACCCCCTGCGCGGAGCAGTACCTTTGGCGTGGAACGTCCAGCCCCTCCGCCAGTATTCCTGTAGCCGCACCCGCTCCTGCTGCCCCAGGCTGCACACCTCGCTGTAGAACTGCCGCTCAATGTGCACGTAGGCCGCCGGGATGGCGCCAGCCACGCCCTTGGCCCCAAAGAAGCCATTCACCTCCGGTGAGGCCAGCAGGATCTGGTACTCAGCCCGCGTGCCCAAGACCAGGTCCATGTAGGCCTGGGTGAGATTGAAGTAGCCGGTGGTGAGGTAGACCTTGGCGCCTCGCTCGGCTTCTGTCAGCAGAGTCTCAGTGACGATCTCGTCGATCTGAATCTCGAAGGGCTTCATCTGGATCAGTGGATAAATCCAGGTGTCAGGGACCGGTCTCCGATCACCAGCAGCTGCTGCGTCTTCCTGGGTCAAGAGGGAGTCGCTGTGGAAGGTCTGGGCGTGCAACACCTGCTGGCGGGCCCTGGCGGAGTTGATCACACCCATCACCCGTTTGTTGGCGGCCTCGCAGTAGGCGGCCCGGTCACCTAGAGGGGACAGGGAAGGGGAGTGAAGAAGAGCGAGAGCAGCTCTGGCCGCTGTCAGCTCAGGGGACAGGGTAGGTGACAGGCGAGTGCGGAAGCTACCACCGACTGTTTGTAGACACACATGGAGTGAGCACAAGGCACAGAGCCCTGAGCACGGTTCCTCGTGGAAAAGCTGCCCGAGACAGGGCCTGCGCAGGGCCCGTTCATGGGCAGAGGTGGCCAGGAGTGCCTGCATGTGAGTCTCAGAGAGGAAAGGTGAGGTTAGGCACAGAGACAAGGAGAGTGGTTCCCTGGAGGGTAATACCAGGGACTGCCACAAGTGTACGTGGGCTGTGCACACGTGCGTGGCGGTCAGTGTGTGTGCTGTGCTCCAGGGTGTGTGCTGTGCACCAGCAGGTGGCAAGGTGGTTAAGGTGCTAGATTTCCACATGGTTGACTGTGGTTAAAGTCCTGGACTCAGCAACTTGAAAATCACACCAGGCGCATGGGCATGTGTGCCCGAAATCCCAAGAAGAGAATGGAGGAGGAGGGACTGTGGCGTGGTCTGCCCCCTGGAGAGTGGTTTCTCACCCTCTCTATTGTGCACACTTGCATGCCATATAGCAAAAAACTTTAAAAAAAAAAAAAAGAGAGCGAGCAAGTCAGATAGTAAATACTTAAGGCTTTGTGGGACAAAAGACAAAACTGAAAATACTTAAGTACTTATATGACAAGATAGAAAAGAGATTTTCACAGGTTTTTTTAAAGAATTATTTTATTAAACATTACTTATTTATTCGTTTATTTTAATTTGACCTGAGAAAGACAGAGTGAGAGAGAGAAGGGAAGTGAGAAAGTAAGCCTCCAGGTCCTGGACTTGAACTATGGTCGGCCATGTGGGAGTCCAGTGCCCTTAACACCACCTGCCGGCCCCGAGATCTTCACAATTTTTTTATTGATGAAATTCAAACTACAATAATAATGGCCGAGCCCCCAGCTGGCACAAGCAGAGCTGTTACAGGTACTGGCTTGGCTTGGAGGTCCATGGCTCCTGGCATGGGCACAGGATTTCTGCCAAGTGTCCAGTGTTCCCCCCCACACCCAGGCACTTCCATCCCAGCAGCATGGGACACGGGGATCGCGTCTCCTCCTGAGGTCCAGGGAGCTGCGCCCCTCAGATCACAGGCACACTTGCAAACTCAGCAGCAACGCTGAAAGGCCACAGGGAAGCCACAGCCACAGGAATGGCAGGAATGCGCATGCCCTGGGTGCTCCCTGTGACGTGCCCATTCCCAGCGAGCAGAGCTGAGCTCTCCTGTTTCACTTTCCAGGCAAGAGGCCACCGACCTCAATGAGTTGAGAGCCGCAGGCCTACGTGACAGGAGGTCGGAGGAACAGGCGGAGGCGGGCAATGCTCAGGCCACTTCCTGTAAGCGCAGGGCAGGCTCCTGGCCCACTCGCCCGGTCGCACAGGTCCGAGCCCACCCTGCCACCTTCCTGTGCTGGCTCTCTGGCCCACAGAGCACGACCAATGCCAGCAAGTCACATCTGTCTGGCTTGAGACTAAACCAGAGTGAGGCCCTGCTGCCCAAGTCCTCTGTTCCTGCAGCAAGGCCACCCAGAGGTGTGCTCTCCTGTGCTTCGCCCCACTCCACCCACAACCACGGAAGGGCGGCAGAGCCAGGGCCCTACCTTTGTACGGGTGCACCATCCCGTCCACCACCTGCACCGTGTCATCCCCCTGCAGCTGCAGGGACACGTCCCCCACAGCATCCACAAGCTCTGTGAAGAAGTCGGCAATCTCCGCGCAGTCCTGCAAGAACACGTAGCGGTCCTGGCGGTTGGTGAAGTAAGAGTCGCTCAGGTTTGCGCTACAGGGAGGAAGAAGCAGGGAGGACTCAGGTGAGTTTGCAACAGGGTGTCCCGGTAGCCAGGTTTCAGGGTCACTAGCAGGGGATCGACAAACTCAGGTCAGGGCACCAAGTACAGCCAATGAATAAATGGCAACTGGGCACCAGCCAGGCGAGCAGAGCACTCAGGTGACAGAAAAGTGGGCTACCAGGAGCTGCCTGTCTCAGGAGAACAGAAAGGCATGAAAGGTCAACTTGCACTGGGCCGTGCAAGTGGCCAGCCAGTGGCCACATCTGGAATCAAAGGACATGGGTCTCTGCCTGGCCCTGCCTGTGTGTGCTCTGGCTCTGCCTGACAAGATTACTCGTCCTCTCTGACCTGCTCTCACGTATAAAGTGAGGAAAATCCTGCCTGGCTCGCCGGCAATCAGTGAGGACGCATAGGCACGGCAGCTGGTACACAGCGAGAACTTGCTACACAGGGTGATCTTTCGGCCAGCCTCCATGAGCGCCAGCCTCCACAGCAGACCCCTGCGGGCACAAGCAGGCTCCCCAGGCCTGAGGAGTGATGTTCTCCCTTCCTCATCCCAGACTCCCACCCTGCAGGAGAGCACGGTAACCCTCGGCGGGACACACACCCGCTGAGGATGACACTGTTGTCGAAGAGGTACACCTTGATGTGCTGGAGGCCGATGGTCTCGTTGAAGCGCTCAGGGATGAGGAGTCGGAGCAGGCCACGGAGGTTGGGCGTGTGGAAGAGTGAGACTCTGACCTGTTCTGGAAACCTCTGCAAGAGTGGAAGCAGCATCGTGCGCGAGTTCTTCCTGCCTGGATGAGCGCGAGTGCCAAGGAAGAGCAGGTCACACCAGGAAGGACAGCTGGCCGCCTGCCTGCCTGCCCACCTGGCAGCCAGAAGCCACCTCCCCCTGGGCCTCGCCCTCACGTGACCCTCCGAACTGGTCACCCCACCTGGAGCTCTTTGTCACCTGGGGACCTCAGGACCTATTCGGCTCTGGTGCCTGCCACATCCCAGGACATCCTCCTGGGAACTGCACCCAACGTCCTCCAGGACTACCAGCCCACCCCCCTCAGCATTTCTGCTCTGGGTGAAATGACCCACCTACCCTGACCCTTCACCCCAACTGCACAAGAGAACACACAAGCCTGGGTTGGCCACTCAGCACACTCTGAACCACTGATGACAGCGATTAATTACAGGGCAGGACTATGGCCCACGGCAGGCCTGCTTCTGCCAACGGACACAATGTCATGGAGGTGCAGGCCTCAGCCACCAGAGACGACCACACGGAGCCTGAGAATGAAGCCAGCCCAAGGAAACAGGGCAAGAAGACATATCCAAACCCCAAATCGGGACCCACCAAAAGGTCAGTCATAGGGATTGAAGTCTGTTTTGCCCAAGTTGTTTGTAGTTAGGCTCCCGGTCCCCACTGCAGGGGTCCTGATGCAGCGCACTGGGCAGTCTGGGCCAGCACGGGCCATTTCAAACAGCCTGGCTCTGCCCGAGGAAGGGGAACTCAGTGTAACTCCTCAAACTGAGGGTGTGAGTGAGGAGGAACGGGGCCTAACACCTACCTCTTGAGCCCCGTGTGAAGTCTAAGAGAATGGAGACCTTCAGGTCTGAAGGGGACTTTGCTTGAAGAGACTTTTCCAGAGTACTTTCCAGGCAATCCACCTGATGAGAAAAAAAAGGGGGGATGGGGTGGGGGGAAGGACAGGGTGTAAGACTCCAAAAAGAAGCTTGTGAGTTGTGAGCAAACTAATCAACTCCAGCCAGCCCCATGGCCTGGTGGTTAAGAGAGCCAGATCCCACAAGGCGGACCATGGTTTAAGTCCCAGCCTTGGTGGCCTGGGAATTGTGTGCTTATGCCAAATCCTGGCAGGATGGAGAAACAGGGGAGGAACTGTGGCATGACCACACCCATGGGGATGTTCCCCTCTCCTCTGTCTCTCTCTTTCCAGTGAGTACATGAGCCCCTTGGCAATTTGGGGGGAAAAAAATCACTAATCAACTCATGACCCAAGGCTCTCACCATCCTCTCTGCACACACACACGCACCGTTAGTGCTCAGAGGCTGAAAGCCCTTCCTGAGACAGCCCAGCTATGGCCATCAGAGCAGTACCCACACCTTCTGCAGTCCAGGCCTCCAGAGAGAGAAGGGGGAGCATGGGGTAGAGCAGACTGCCCAAGTGGCCTGGACCTGGCCACTCCTGGATGTGCTAAGGCACCAGCTCACGCACACATTCCATCAGGCAGAGAAACCTCGCAGACATACAACGGACAGCACCCTTACTCGCTTACTCGCGGAGAGCACTAGCAAAGACACACCCTGCCCACTGGCCATTCTCCACGGGCGAGGCGACATTCTTCTCCGGAGAACAGCTTCCCAAGCTTGCAGCTAAGGGTATGGCCTGAAACAGAGAGGCTCCTTCCCCGGAGAAGCAGTGGGAGAAAGCGCCTAGGCTAGCCACCTTCTCCTCCTCCACACTCCAACGCCCAAGTTACTCCCCAGCTCCCATATGGAAGTTTCTGACAAGGATGAACCCGAAACACTGGGTCTGGGCAATGGGCCTATCCCACTACCTCTAAAGAGAAAGCCATCCCAGGAGACTAGAACCAATTGTGGACTCTCTTCAGCTCCAGCTAGGTCCTGCCAGCCCACCAGAAGCCACACTGAGCTCGACTACCAGCAGCACACCTAGCACAGACACTGGGACTTCGGCTCCTTCCCAGCTTGCTGACCTCACTGTAAGTGTCACGTGTGCCCCAACAGAAAGCCCAGGTAGAACAAGGCAGCTACAGAACTGACACGCAACACCAGCCCTGGGCAAAGCCACTAGGCAGCCTGACCTGCCCTTTGATTCATCTGTCTAGAAGTCAGAAAACCCTTCCTGAAAACAGCCAGGTAGTGACTATTTGGGGTTTTGTGGGCCAGATGGTCTGTCCTAACTACTTGGCTGTCACTGCAGCATGACAGCACCCACAGACAGCACACAAATGAACAAGCACGGCCAGGTTCCAATAAACCTTTATCAATGGACACAGAAACTGGAATTTCACATATGTTTCATGAGTCGCAAAATATTCTTCTGGTTTTCTCCAATCAGTTAAAAATGTAAATACCATTCTTAGCTCACGGGCCACCCAGAAACTGGAGACTGGCTCCCAACAGGCTAAGGGTGACCTGGCCCCCCAGGCCAGAAATGCCCTCATCAGGTCTCCCCACCCCGTCAAGGGGTTCCCAACATGCCCCATACCTGGGGCAACAAAAATGAGAGTTGGCTGAAGATGGGAACCGCAGAAAGGCACTTCTGCCCCAACCCCACAGTCCTGGGCACCTGGGAGGCCTCAGGCCCTACTCGCTCTGCTGCTAGAATCACACCCCAAACAAGCCTTACCAGCTCCTGCTCCAAAGGGCCCGTCCCCAGGTAGAGGGATGCCATCACGACCCGCCTCTTGGCCACTTTTATCTGCCCCTGGAAAAAAAGAGACAACTCAAAATTCACACCCATCCCTTTCAGAGTTCACTGAAAAAAACATCATCTTTTGAGCTTAGAGGTAAATGGCATCCAAGCTAAACTATATGCCTTCACCAACTAATATTGAAAGCAAGCCCAAAACATGTGAGGTAACCAGCCAAATAAGGACCCACAATCCTTTTTAAGAGTCTCAGCATGAGAAGTAGAGCCGTCCACCCCAACTGCAGACGCAATGCAGCCACAGACAAGGATGAAAGAGCCTCTGCATGCCGAGATGAGTGTCCACAATGAACTGCTGAGAAACAAAAGCAAATTACTGAACCGAGCACAACCCATGGTGCCACCTGTTCACATCCCATCGGATACACAGCTCTCGACGCGAGCAGGTGAGCGTATCTGCAGGAGCATGGAGGGTATAGGCACACCCGCTACGAGGTGTCCCTGCAGAACAGTGCTAGAGGGAGTGGAGCATGGAGAAGCACCCAGCTGCCAGGCATGAGCTGTTCGTAACACGCATGTACCAGCTCTGACATGTAGAGCACAGCTGAACGAACACATGAACAGGATATATTAGCACCCAAAGATGCCCATCACCCCTATCCTAACAGCCAGACTCTTCCCCTGGACCCCACTCCTGCCCAGAACAACGGACCCCACCTCCAAACCTCTAAGCAGGAACAACAGCTACCAAAGGTCAAAGCCCCAAAAAGTATACAGGAAAGCAAGCGAGAGGGAGGGAGACAGGCCAGAGGGAGGGAGGCGCTCAACTAGGGCCAGCATGCCCCAGGCCTGCCCCACCCACGCAGCAAGGCGGTGTCCCAACAGAGACTTGAACACCCACTGGGAAAGGCTTCTGTACACGGAAAAGTCAGACAACTTCCCACGGCTGCTGTTTGTCTCATTATCTATTAAAATAGCTGCTGGTGGGAACGATCATGAAGAGAAACACAAATAAGGGACAAAGCAATTTGGTTCCGGCAGTCAAAGCACACCTGTTTACTACAGGATGCCAGGTCCTATAGGACAGCCGGGCTGTGACAACGACATGGAGACTAGTCTCTCCTGGCGAGCACAGGCTCCTGTCTCTCCCGCCACCCCATATGACAGGAGCCAGGACAATCTGCCACGGTTCAGCCGAGAAGGCAGGACAGGAGGGCCTCAGCTTCTCCCCAGCTGCAAGGCCAGGTCCCTCTGTTCCTTCCTGGCCCCTGCACCCCGACCCCTGCAGCAGGTGCCAGCCTCCTGGCCAGGGCTCACCATGTGCAGACACAGTCAAGCACTCACTCAGAGTTGGTGATGACACTGAGAAAAGTCGCCTTTGGAAAACCTGTCTCTTCAAGCCAAGAAGAGAACCAAGTAGAAGCAAGGGCACCAGCTGCAGCATTGCTCCACACAGACAAGGATGTACAAGGCAGAGAGGGGTACAGGGAGCTGGGGAAGGAGGACAGGACCTGCGTGCACGGGCATATACACAACACGTCCAGGGGCAGGCCGGGCAGAAACGACACGGAGTGTCATCAATGGAGGGCGGAGGACAGAGAACGGGCGGGCATCAGAACAAACAAGCTCGTTTTCTGCCCGGGTGAACCCCAGCCTACACTGTCCATCTCTGCAGCACTAGCTGCCTCCATCAGACCTTCGTTCTACCACCACTGCCAAGGCAAGCTCAGAGCTCACACTGTTAAAAACTGTCAATGACTTCATCCCAATTGGCAGCTCAGCCAGAACCACCAGACGTGGCACGTAAACCTGAGGAACTGCTGAAAGGTGAACCCCCTACACAAAGTTCACACTCTCCCAGGAGCGGGTCTCCTAGAGCAGGGCTGCGAGACCTCAGACGAGGCTGTGTGGCTTCCTCGGATCATCTCTAAGTGGCTCTTCACTGAACAGGCTCTGGCCACCTCGACACATCAAACCCCAACCACGAGTCTTCATTTCCCATGTGCTACATCACTGAAGTGACACCACTGTGATGGAGCTGTTTCCTGGGACAGAGTTCCTCGTGCGTGGACCAGCTCCGTTCTCCCTGGCCATCTCTGGTGGGGATGGACCCATGCAGTCCACATATGCTCACTGACTGCCATTCTAGCGGTGGAACACGGGACAGAGGGGATCGATGTGTCCCCAGAACCAAATCCGCCAGGCCCCTGTCCTCATGCTCCCTTCTCAGAGCTTCCCAGTCTGAGACACGGACTGTGCAGGTAAGCTTCTGTTTGTGGCTCAACTCAACCATCTGCAAAGCTGAAACCTAACAGGCAGAAGGCCCCAAAAGAACTGGGCTGACCAGCCACCAAAAGCTTTTCACTAAAAAGAAGAGATGGGGCCAGCTGGTGGCACAGTGGTTAAGGCAGTCAGAATCCACCTGGCCAACTGCACAGTTCGTGTCCCGGGCCCAGTGGCTCGAGAAACTCACCCGGCACGTGTGCACACAGGCCCGAAATGCTACAAAGAGAAATGGAGAAGGGCTGCAGCACCGTCACCTCCCTCAAGGGTGCGCTCTCGCTTCCTCTCTCTTCAGCTAGTGCATGTGCCCGCTAGACACTAGAGAGAGAGAGGAAAAGAGAAAACTTCTCGAACAGAATGTATTAGGACCCCCTAACCTGCCCCCACAACCACAACCTCTCACTCAAACTTCTGCACTGCTCTCCTTTAGTCATGGCTTACCTTCATGAGCTCGAAAAACTCTGCCGGGGAAGAAAGCACCCTGACGTGAGAGCTCGAGACTCCGAACTCCGGAACCAGGTTTCTGATCCACTGGAACCTGTGCACACTCTCTGGACACAGGCAGCAGGGTGGGGAGGTGATGTGGGGGACAGCCGGGGACAGCAAAGGAGCCAGTAAGAGCCATGGTGACCTGGACAGAGAAACGTGACGGGCATTATTACTCCTCGCACCTTCCGCTGGGCCTCTCCCTGCTACTGTGGGAAACGGGGTCGGGCTTTAGTTGGCGGTGTTGCTTTTGCTAATTTCAAATTTTCTTGACCATTTTAAAGATGAACTCAAATGAATTTCTGCAAAAAGATGTTCCAGCTGGAACGTCTTGCTCAGGAGAAGCTGGATCTCCCCTGGTGATCTCGATCTGGACCCCTTACCCCGTTAGCCTCAAACATGCTGAGCACGCAGGCAAGTGCCAAGGATCTGACAGGCTAGAGGCCAGGGGACGGGGACTGCATGTGACAGGATCTCATGAGGGTGTGCATCTTGCTCTCGCTATGTGCCACACTCATGAGTAAAGGGAAAAAGGGAGTTTCCCCTCAGCCTCCTTCCTCTTCACTCCTCAGAACCTAGTCCTTGAGCAACCTGAGAAATGCCGTTGCCCACAGATAACCCCAAGCCCTAAGTCGACGCCAAACACTCAGGAACCAAATACGGAGCAGCACAAAGTCCCCCACCCCATGAACACCGCTTCCTCCTGCCAAATCCAGCCCGAGCCCTCAGCCTACAGAAGCCACTGGGGGAGACCCAGAGCGGGGGGGGGACAGGAGCCAGGACAATCTGCCACGGTTCAGCCGAGAAGGCAGGACAGGAGGGCCTCAGCTTCTCCCCAGCTGCAAGGCCAGGTCCCTCTGTTCCTTCCTGGCCCCTGCACCCCGACCCCTGCAGCAGGTGCCAGCCTCCTGGCCAGGGCTCACCATGTGCAGACACAGTCAAGCACTCACTCAGAGTTGGTGATGACACTGAGAAAAGTCGCCTTTGGAAAACCTGTCTCTTCAAGCCAAGAAGAGAACCAAGTAGAAGCAAGGGCACCAGCTGCAGCATTGCTCCACACAGACAAGGATGTACAAGGCAGAGAGGGGTACAGGGAGCTGGGGAAGGAGGACAGGACCTGCGTGCACGGGCATATACACAACACGTCCAGGGGCAGGCCGGGCAGAAACGACACGGAGTGTCATCAATGGAGGGCGGAGGACAGAGAACGGGCGGGCATCAGAACAAACAAGCTCGTTTTCTGCCCGGGTGAACCCCAGCCTACACTGTCCATCTCTGCAGCACTAGCTGCCTCCATCAGACCTTCGTTCTACCACCACTGCCAAGGCAAGCTCAGAGCTCACACTGTTAAAAACTGTCAATGACTTCATCCCAATTGGCAGCTCAGCCAGAACCACCAGACGTGGCACGTAAACCTGAGGAACTGCTGAAAGGTGAACCCCCTACACAAAGTTCACACTCTCCCAGGAGCGGGTCTCCTAGAGCAGGGCTGCGAGACCTCAGACGAGGCTGTGTGGCTTCCTCGGATCATCTCTAAGTGGCTCTTCACTGAACAGGCTCTGGCCACCTCGACACATCAAACCCCAACCACGAGTCTTCATTTCCCATGTGCTACATCACTGAAGTGACACCACTGTGATGGAGCTGTTTCCTGGGACAGAGTTCCTCGTGCGTGGACCAGCTCCGTTCTCCCTGGCCATCTCTGGTGGGGATGGACCCATGCAGTCCACATATGCTCACTGACTGCCATTCTAGCGGTGGAACACGGGACAGAGGGGATCGATGTGTCCCCAGAACCAAATCCGCCAGGCCCCTGTCCTCATGCTCCCTTCTCAGAGCTTCCCAGTCTGAGACACGGACTGTGCAGGTAAGCTTCTGTTTGTGGCTCAACTCAACCATCTGCAAAGCTGAAACCTAACAGGCAGAAGGCCCCAAAAGAACTGGGCTGACCAGCCACCAAAAGCTTTTCACTAAAAAGAAGAGATGGGGCCAGCTGGTGGCACAGTGGTTAAGGCAGTCAGAATCCACCTGGCCAACTGCACAGTTCGTGTCCCGGGCCCAGTGGCTCGAGAAACTCACCCGGCACGTGTGCACACAGGCCCGAAATGCTACAAAGAGAAATGGAGAAGGGCTGCAGCACCGTCACCTCCCTCAAGGGTGCGCTCTCGCTTCCTCTCTCTTCAGCTAGTGCATGTGCCCGCTAGACACTAGAGAGAGAGAGGAAAAGAGAAAACTTCTCGAACAGAATGTATTAGGACCCCCTAACCTGCCCCCACAACCACAACCTCTCACTCAAACTTCTGCACTGCTCTCCTTTAGTCATGGCTTACCTTCATGAGCTCGAAAAACTCTGCCGGGGAAGAAAGCACCCTGACGTGAGAGCTCGAGACTCCGAACTCCGGAACCAGGTTTCTGATCCACTGGAACCTGTGCACACTCTCTGGACACAGGCAGCAGGGTGGGGAGGTGATGTGGGGGACAGCCGGGGACAGCAAAGGAGCCAGTAAGAGCCATGGTGACCTGGACAGAGAAACGTGACGGGCATTATTACTCCTCGCACCTTCCGCTGGGCCTCTCCCTGCTACTGTGGGAAACGGGGTCGGGCTTTAGTTGGCGGTGTTGCTTTTGCTAATTTCAAATTTTCTTGACCATTTTAAAGATGAACTCAAATGAATTTCTGCAAAAAGATGTTCCAGCTGGAACGTCTTGCTCAGGAGAAGCTGGATCTCCCCTGGTGATCTCGATCTGGACCCCTTACCCCGTTAGCCTCAAACATGCTGAGCACGCAGGCAAGTGCCAAGGATCTGACAGGCTAGAGGCCAGGGGACGGGGACTGCATGTGACAGGATCTCATGAGGGTGTGCATCTTGCTCTCGCTATGTGCCACACTCATGAGTAAAGGGAAAAAGGGAGTTTCCCCTCAGCCTCCTTCCTCTTCACTCCTCAGAACCTAGTCCTTGAGCAACCTGAGAAATGCCGTTGCCCACAGATAACCCCAAGCCCTAAGTCGACGCCAAACACTCAGGAACCAAATACGGAGCAGCACAAAGTCCCCCACCCCATGAACACCGCTTCCTCCTGCCAAATCCAGCCCGAGCCCTCAGCCTACAGAAGCCACTGGGGGAGACCCAGAGCGGGGAGGGCTGACGACTCGTGAGAGGGCTTCCACTCAAGGAAGGACCCCCAGTTAACTGTTCTCTGTAAAGTCAGGACTTGGGCAAGAACAACTGGGAAGAGGCTGGGCAAAAGGAGCTCTTCTTGAGAGCTACCGCATCCCCTGCAGACACATCCTCTCTGGGGGTCCCACGGGCTTGGGCTGGTGCACACCTGACCCCCTAAACCTGCACACCTAGCAGATCCCACGCCCCACTGAGCTGAGCCAGGAAGAAGCCCAATGCTGCACACAAAGCCACACCTGTGCTGCCCAGAGCAGGGCTGGGGTGGGAGGTGGGGGACGGTGCTGCACATCAGAGCCCCACGTGAACGCAACCCTCCTGCGAATTCCAGTCCTGAAACTGCAGCAGGAAAACCCTCTCTAGTTGTGACCTCAGGAGGGACTCTAGGGAGCGGATGCGCAACACCCCAGGCCTGGCCACAAATTCCAGGAAGATGACCTCACTGGCTTGCTTCATGATAGAGCGCAGAATCTTCCCAGGGTTCGTAACATCCTCGCACACACGCCAGACGGCCCACAGCTGTGCTTCCCAGAAAGCCCACCGGCCTTCCCAGCCGGTCCCTGCCAAGAAAACTTTAGTCAATGGTGGAAGGTGCAGCTCTGGGTCCTAGAGAGGCTGGGACTGGCCTTGCTGTCCCCTGCTGTCTCTAAAGAGGTGATGACACCCATGGGCATCGGTGAGCAAAGCAAAGGCCTAGACTGCTGCCTCCATTTCCCACTCTCACCATGTTTGAGGGGAGGGCAGAACCCTCCTGGCTCCTGAGAACTGAGGGGAAAGCTTCACAGTGACCTATCGCCCTGAGGTCGCGGCTACCAATGAGCCACGGCCTGTCTGCGGAGGACCCCTGCCTTGCCGCACTACTTGCTACCTTTCAGACGGTACAGGAACGAACTGGGCACCACCAGCCCTGCTCCAGGCCATGGGTCAGTCCCTGCACACCCTCCACAGGGACCAAGAGATGCAAACCAGTTTCCAGAAAGGAAGACGAGGGCACAAGGCAAGCAAGAGAGGGCCCGTGCCAACCGAGACTCGGCTCACACGTGAGCAGCTGCTCCGCACCACAGAGAGCGCAAGTGAGGAGCCTGCCCAGTCTCTGCCGCCTGCAACACCACCCTACACAGCCGGAACCATCCAGGACACGGGGAAATGCAGAAACGGATTAAGTAAATGTCAGAATACCTAGCACAGGTGCTCTGTGATCAAAAGGGGAGCTGCTGAGACCAGCAGATGGCTTAATGGGTACGTTGCTGGACTCCCAAGTAGTTGACCAAAGTTCAAGTCCCGGACCCGGCAACTTGTGTGCATGCCCAAGACTGGAGAGGAGAATGGAGGAGAAGGGATTATGGCTGGCCATCGCCCCGGGGGGTGATTTCTCACTTTCTGTCTCTGTCTCTCTGGCGAACACACACACCCTATAGCAAAAATCTCTCTTAAAAAAAAAAAAAAAAACAGCAGGGGGTGGGGGGAGCTGCTGACGCCTGGAGCTACAGCAGCCTTCCTGAATGGGCTTTGAGAAATGATCCAGTCCAAACAGGGATCAGGGAGAGGACAACGCTCTGTGCAAGGAGAGGTGTGACTACATGTAGGAACACTCGGCCGCATAGGAGCCTAGCAACTAACCGCTGCGCCCTCTGCTGGCCATGCAAATGTGTAACAACTGGGGGGGAGGGGAGGAGGCAGAGGCCAGCTAGCCAGTGGCGTGGTGGTTAAGGCGCTGTGCGGTTCCAAGTCCAAACCTGGTGGCTTGAAAAACATGCCAGTGCACATGCATGTGCATGCATGCCCCAAATCCCAAGAGGAGAATGGAGGAGAAGGAAATGTGGCATGGCATGAGGGAGTGTGCTTGTTCACCTTCCCTCTCTCTCCCTGTCTCTCCAGTAAGTACATGTGCTCTATAAAATTGTTTAATTATTTATTTATTCCCATTTGTTGTTGTTATTTCTTTCATTTGACCAGAGAGAGAAGAGAGAGAAAAGAAAAGCAGAATTAAGCCGCCAGGTCCGGGACTTGAATCACGGTCAGCCATGTGGGAATCCAGCACCTTTAGCCCCAAGCAAATTTTAAATATAATAATAAAACAAAACAAAATCCCGAGAGGAAGGAGAAATGGAGAAAGGATACAGTGTGGCCATGCCCCTGGAGGATGATTTCTCTCTCTCCAGCGAACACACACACACACACCCTGGCAAAAATTGTAACAAATAAAATGTTAAGCAGGGACTGGCAAAAACCACCACCACGAGACAAACCCAGCAGTGCCTCAGGAGTCCGTGCAGAGGACACGCACAGTCTGGCAGCCCAGAGCCCTGGGGCTACCTGGCACATCTCTTCCCAGCCAGGCAGCTCCCTGGGATTGCTCCACCAGGGCCTAGGTCCAAGAGTTGTCCAAGGCTTTCTATGTTGGCTTCCGGCTTCATCTAGGTACGGACAGGTCTGCTTTGTTGGGCAGGAGGAGCCAAAGCCAATAGGCTTCATGGCTGCATCACGGAGGGCCAACCTTCAGGTGGTGATTTCACGGACCTAAAGAGGACGCGCTTTGAAAGGGAGCAAAGCGTTTTATAAAGGGGTCCTTGGATCTCACAGCACACACCGCGACCACACCTGGACAAGGCATTCCGAGTGCGGTAGGGTGGAGACAGCCAAGCCCGTGCTGAACCCGCACTGCAGGCTTCCAGGGGCCTGCTCAGGGGCCATGTATTTTCCTTTCACCTCAGCCAGAACCCAGGGGGGTTGGTTCCCGTCTTTCCACAATGTAACTCCTGGGAATTTTCTCAGAAAAGGCTGAGCCCTGTGCTGCAGCAGCCCCTGCTGCGCAGTAATCCCGGCCTTCAGGGGCCGACCACCTGCAGAAGCAAGTCCCCACACACCAGGGAGGGTTACTAAGAGACCACGCGTCCCAGGCTGAAACTAGGCCCTGAGAGTGGAGGAGGCAGAGAGGCTGTGGTGACTTACCAGAGAAGCTGGGAGCTGTCAGTCACCGTGTAGAGAAGAGCACGCGCGCGCGCACGCGCACACACACACACACACACACACAGAGTTTCCACACCAGGCCTGCGTTCCCCTGAATCATCTCCCTCTAGATACCATCGAGTTCCCATTTCTAGTTAGAGGGAGGAGGAGGCAGTGGGGGCAGGGCCAGAGGATGAGGTTCTGCCCCCGCTTGCCTCTCAGAAGGCCCAGCCTGAGCCCTGGAAGTCAGGGCCAGTCTAGAGAATGGGGCCAGGGGCAAGAGCAGGTGCTCCTCCCTGCCACGGGGATTCAAAATCAGACAACTGTTCTACCTCCCTGCACACAGCTCACTCGGCAATCTCCAAAACAACCGACAAACAATACAACCCTCAGTCTGCAACGGGAAAGGCGACGGCACCAGCCATCAGCCCAGGATACTCGCTCCAGATCGACCCAGGACTTGAGGCGCACCGTCGTGTGGGGTTTGCAGAGTCTCTGAACCGGGGTGCAGGCTGGGCCTAATGAGCACTGAGGGCACCTGACCTGGGCCTGGGCAAGCAGGTGCACCGAGCATGAAGGACACAGGGGTGTTAGGAGGGAAGGACTCCCAGCCACCCAAGAGCCACATCTGAACTGTCCTAACCAAGCAGCAAGAGCATGACACTCCTGTCCCTGAGCTCATGGACTAGGGCTGCCACTAAGAAAGGACAGCAGAAGCCTGGAGAAAACAAGGCACTGCTCCCTTCGGGGGGAAACAGGTTTTCCATTTCACCACATGTGTGAAAGCTGCATGTGCTTCGTGGAAAAGCACGGGCACGCCTGGCATTTTTCCTTGGGACGTGCAACGATGTGCCCAGAGGTCCCAAGGTCTTGGTGGAGGAGTGCACCAGAGAAGGGCAAGCAGCAGAGAATTACACCCGATCTACACTTCACCTCTAGGTGTCCCTTCCCTCTACAATTTCAGAGGATACGTGTCTGCTTCCCCTGGAGCCACAGTAGCGAATTCACCCACTACCAATGGACACAAGTAATATCCAACTTGTCGGGGTTTTTCCAATATAGGGCACATGGGCTTCCAACAGAGGACATGATGCAGCTGGGGGACTGTCCTTAGACTCTACCCACAAGTCCCCGTGGTAGGACCGCAGGTACAGGCCCCAAGTCAGGCTCTAAAGGTTCACGGGCTCTTCTGAAACCATGAGATCAGATTGTGCTAAAGGCTCTGCGGCTTCCTGGAGCCTCTCCAGATCTGTACAGAATGATGAAAATAAGGTTTTAGAAGAAACTGGGCTTTCTGGATTGCAATCTTTTCAGAAACGACTTTTTAAGAAAAACCCACCCTACCAGCTCAGTCATCTATACGCACATGTAAAAAAGTGAACTGATGAGAAGAGAAACAGTCATAACACTTCCTGAGAAAGGCTCGAGAAACTACAGAGGCAGTTCCTGCAACTCTGGCAGCAGACGGCCCTTCCTGACTAACGCAAGACCTACACTCAAGGAAGGGAAATGAGTGTGGATTCCCGGAGGTACACAGATCGGCGGCCTGCCTAACTCCCACAACGAGGCCGGCTCGAGGCTGGGGCTGCCAGCACTCACTGTGTGATCAGATGACGTTCCTCCAGGTTTGGCCACAAGCAGCTCCAGTGTGCTGGGCAGACACCTAGAACACGTTTACAACGCACAGTGGGCCTCAGGCAGTCAAGCACACTGGGCACACGAGTGCCTGCCGAGAACTGGTCACATGCTCCGCCACTCGAAGGCTCCCGCTGGCCTGCCTGCCAGCCCTGGAAGGGACGGGCTTCCGTCATCACTCTGCTTACAGGGACTATCTACCAGGACACTCTCATCTCAGGCTGGGCTCTGTCTACCGGAACAGCACTAACTGCGCCAAAGGCATTGCCAGCGACAATGCCATTACAGGGAAGGAGAGCTGGTCAGCTGTAAATCTTACTTTAATCCTCTGCAAGATCAAATAAACTTGCTTTGGTTCTAAATATCCATCCCTCTCCTGCTCCTTTACTGCTATAAATAAGCCAGGAGATGGTGCTACTTAAACTCTTACCGGTTAGGGGCGACTGGGCCCCAACATCGGAGACGTCAAAGGAGTAATTTCTGGAAATTTGGTGATCCCTTAGAGACTTATGTGCAAGCTGCTATTACAACATGAGAAAAAGCTAGCTATTGAAAGAATATAGCCGGGAGCCAGCAGGTGGCATGGTGGTTAAGGGCACTGGACTCCCACATGGCCGACCACAGTTCGAGTCCCAGACGTAGTGGCCTGCTTTCTCAGTTTCTCTCTCTCTCATTGTGTCCCTTTCTGGTCCAATTAAAATAAAGAAAGTTTAAAAAAATAATTATTATTTTTTTAAAAAAAAGAAAGAAAAAATAGAAAGCATACAGCCTGCTGGTTACCCACTTTCCTCCTGTACCTTAGCCAAGCTATGGACCTCATACCCTCCAACATACACGCACCCTCATGCACCCTGAATAGAGAAAATGGGACTGAAGTTTCAGGAAAAAAGACTTTTCTGTACATACAGCTCACGATGAAAATAGTTTAAAAAGAGGGAAGTCCATAAAGGAAGTATTTCCTTGTACAGTGGGCAAGTTCAAGACTCGGAACTAAAAAGCCCCAGCCCACGGCCTGCTGGTTAACCCCAGCTCAAGCAGTTTGAAGAACATGCCAGGTGCGTGTACCGAAGTCCTGGCAGAATGGACAAATGGGGGGACGGCTCTGTGGCCACACCCCACTGGGAGCGCTTTCTCCCCACCTTTCTCCCTACCTCTTTCTGGTGATCCCATCATCTTGCAAATTAAAAAAAAAAGTCCCAAATGCACCTGATCATTATCCTGAAACCCAGTCCTCTCTTCCTCCCTGTCTGACGAAGTGGGCCGCCACCAGCAGTCACCCAGGTCCAAGATGACCCCTCCTCAGTGCCTTTCCACAACCCCTGGGTGCTGAGTCTAATCCAGCTTCCTTTACTGTTCCAGCTGGCCTGGCTTCACACCTCAGGTCTGGGTCTCTATCAGGAGAAATCATACATGGGCTACCACAGCCTGCCTTCTGGGTCTCCGGCAGAAGAGGCCAGAAGAGACTAGCTTGCTTCTCGCTTCGCTTTCTCCCTCCCTCTCCTTTGGTATCCCCACTCAGTTCCTAGAAATGGTCTGAAGACTTGGGACCAGCAGATGGAGTAATGGTTACATCGCTGGATTCCCACATAGTTGACAGTGGGTTCAAGTCCCGGACATGGCAGCTTAAAACTCACACCAGGTGTATTTATGTGAATGCCCAAAATCCCAAGAGAAGAATGGAGAAGGGATCACCCTCTGGAGGGTGATTTCTTCCTTTCTGTCTTTCTGTCTCTCTGGCAGAGTACACATGCCCTATAGGGAAAAAAAAAAAAAAATCTCTCTCTTAAAAAAGAATTTTAAAAAGAGGGACCAGCAGATAGTGTAATGGGTATGTCGCTGGACTCCCACATAGTTGACCGTGGTTTGAGTCCCAGACCCAGAGACTTAAACTCATGTCAGGTGCATGTGCATGCATGCCCAAGATCCCAAGAAGAGAATGGAGGGAAAGGGAATGCGTGGTCAAACCCCCATGGGGGCTGATTCCTCACTTTCTGTCTCTCTGTCTCTCCAACAAGCACACACGCCTTATAGGAAAAATCTTTAAAAAAAAAGAAAGAAAGAAAGGAAGGAAGGAAGGAAGGAAGGAAGGAAGGAAGGAAGGAAGGAAGGAAGGAAGAAAGAAAGAAAGAAAGAAAGAAAGAAAGAAAGAAAGAAAGAAAGAAAAATAGTTTGAGGACCTGCAGGCCCTCCAAACAGCCTTCCAGTGTTGTCCAATGCCTCTCCTAAGTGCTCATCGCCTTCCACTTACGCTCCTGTAACTGTGCTCATGGGTCTAAGCGCTGTGAAGGCTGGCCGACCTTCTCCTTACTCCCAGCCACCCAGCACAGCACAGCAGCGCCCTGTACACTCCATGGGCACGAGTGGACCCAGGAGTCCCAGTCTCCAATGACAGAGCCAGACGCTTGCTCAAGGGGCAACAACAGGGGCGGGGCCAGCTCAGAGGCACAGCACAAACACACCAGGTCCACGTGAAGATGACTGGTTCAGTTCCCTGCTTCACCAGTGAACACCGCACCTGTGCCCACAACCCTGCCTGATTCGAAAGGACTTGGTGGCATCTCAGCGCAAGACCCTGCTGAAGGTGTGTGTCTGTCTCTGTCTCTCCCGCTCATAAACAATACATACGTACACACCACAGTGCTTAAGGTGGTCGGATCCCACATGACCGATTACAGCTCAAGTCACAGTCCTGGTGGCTTGAAAAATACACCAAGCACGTGTATGTGTGTGCCCCAAATCCTGACGGGATGAAGAAATGACAGTTAAAAGACTACAGTGTGACCATACCCCACAGAGCGGTGCTTTCTCGCTCCCTCTCTCTCTCTCCAGTGAGCACACATGCCCTCTGGCAATTTGAAAAAAAAGGGGGAGGGGGAAGAATAAATAAACTTTAGTTTTTAAAAAAAGAAGAAACGACAGTATTTCTAGGTCGCTAACTAGAATTTTAAGCAGCCTTGTGTTCTGTCTCTGTGGCTGTCTCTATGCCGGAAAGGAAACCACCACGGTGAAAGACTTGCTCCTCTTGCTAGCCACGGGGACTGACCGGCCGGGCCACGGCAACGTCTGAGTCAGACAGGCGAGCTAGAATCTAAAATGACTTAAGTTCATGACTACACAGAACGATTATCAATGAATCAATGATCAGAGAGTTACAAGAAACGACATCATTCAGAGAATGAGGAATTGGGAGGTACAACTGAACAATGGAGAGAGAAGAAACGAAAGTCAGCAGCCAGCAGAGGGTGAGCGGCCACGGCAGGCATGAATGGCTCCAACACCACCGCGGCCACAGCGGATCAGAACACAGTGAGGCAAAGGAGGGGGCAGAAACCGTCAGAGCGCCAGTCCTGGCCATGCTCCTACCTCAGTCCTAGCATAGGCATTATTTCCAAGGACGATCAAACAAGAATTGCCCACTAATGCCCAAGAAACTGAGTCTATGGTCGAACTGCTACCCAAAGAAACAACAATCTCTCTCAGCTTAATCCAAAAGAAATATGCAGGGCCAGTCACTTAATGGTGGTTAACGTGGC